TAACCTAATCTTATGTGATTGTTTTCTTAAAAAAACATTGTCTGCAGGAGATACAGAGATAGGGGAAATGAAAGGGAATAAGAATCAATATTTTAAGTAATACAAATACTAGAAAACCTTGTGGCATTTTAAAGATCACAAATCCCTAACACATTAGTTGCATGTTAAGAGTCAAGTTATTCTGCAAGGCTACACTGCTGTGAGTCTGGCTAAATTAGAAAGTGAGTGCTCTCTTTCAGCTTCAGCCTTTTATGTTTGGTGTCTGTCAGTTTGTTTCTGCTGTATGGAATAACTTCACTGTTTTTCGTAAAAGTACATTTATCATAATACACCTTTGGGTTTTATCTGCTATCCTTTAAAGAAAGATGTTAACTAGATTTTTGTTTTAAAATTTATATATAGCATAAGTGGGTTATGTAGTTCACCAAATGCTTATTACTTCAGATGGCCTTCCAATAATCACTAGATTTCATACCCCTGCCCCTCAACAAGGTCAGCCAATGGTTCTGTGACTGTAGACCTCACTCAGTGCAGACACCTGTTATTATTCTTGATTTTGCTTCAAGAGCATGTGATAAATGAAAGAAACTATTAAACATTTCTTGACTCTTTTGTTTTAAAATCAGTCAGTACACACATTTCAATGGATAGGAAAATGAGCCTAATTTTTTGAAAGGTTGAATTAAATTAAGTCACAGCAGTTTTTTTTTGTCGTTGTAAGTTTTCCCCTCTTACATATACAGCCAGGTGGAAGAATTATTGTCAGCTTCTTTAAGTCTACTGAAATTTCCTGTTAATTTGTGAATGGCCAAATTAGAATCCAGCAGCATTAAAATTCCTGGTTTGATCTTATCTATACAGACCCAAAGTATGTTAGATTCTCTAGGACTTGAGGCCCTTTTTGCTTCTGTAATGGAATGGAATGTAAATTTTAGGAAAACATGTATTTAACACAAATTAAAATGTGTTGGAAGTAGGTATTTCCTGGTCCTGCTTCCATACCTTGGCAAATCAAGAAAATTTGATATACTTGGAGAATGCAATGATCTGGGAATAGTGGAAAATTAATCACAGTTGGGGAAGAGTAACTAAAATTTGTCCCCTCGTGCAGAAGCCAAATATGAGGAAGGAGATATGGAAGACTGGGGAGAAAGAACAGCTCCCTCCCTACTGTTAGCCTGGTAGGCTTATGTAATGTTCATCATAAATTACTTCACAGCTCTGTATTCTGTGGAAATACCATCAAGGCAGATGATGTTATACTCTTCTTATAGAAATATTAGTGTGTTTAAATGAGTCTATCTCTTTTACAAACTTCCCTTTCAACTCAGAAGCATTTCTAAGGACAGTTTAGTTCAGATACACCTTAATTTCATATTCAAAAGGGCAAAAATAATGCATTTATTTGAATGAGGGAAGAATGTATATGATTTTTTTTATTCCAAGTATGTATCATCTCCAACCTTTAAATTCAATAAAATATTTTAGAGTTTTTATACTTGTATTTTTAATAGTAGTGCTTATA